TATTATTTAGATTTGAACTTTACTCATCTTGTTGCTTAGTACTGGATCTTCTATGCCACAGCTTTCTTGCGTTGAATTTTAAATCTGGTTAATATCTCATTTGGCTAAAGTGTTTTGAGTAAATTTTATGGAAAGAGGATGTGTTGGTAGACTTTCTGAACTTTTGGTGTCTGAGAACCTCTTCTGTTGACTTTTTATACTTTGACAATTCGTCTGGGGATAACAGATACATTGGATAAGGAGGACTTAGAGGGTATAATCTTAAATAAGAACATTTTTGTCATCAACTGCCCCTTTTAATTTTTAAAGGGGAAGGTTCTTAACTTCCTCCTGGAAGAAATCTTAAGCAAGTCCCATGACTTAGGTTACTCTTAGAGAATATAATCCCTATGGCTAATCAGAATCACCAAACACAGTCCCAATTTAGTAATTAAAAATTTCTCATACTGAACAGTAATCTAATTGCAAACTTGCTCCCTGGCCATTCAGGAGCCTGCTATGATCTGACGGCTTACTTAGGGATAGATGGTTTACCACCCAGTCTGTCTTTCTCCACCTAGTTTTTCTTTTGTTCCCTCATCCTCTTATTGTTATTTCTGTGCTGTAAAAGTTAAAAGAAGGAAGAGAAGGTAGGAAGATGGGACATTTTGTCCTTGACTAGTACTACTGTAAGATGGCTCTGTGCTGAATGAGCCTGGCAGGTGGTTAAAACTCGCTGTCTCTTACTTTCCTTCTTGGGTTCTTGGAAGAGCCTGTGGATATATTTGACTTAACTTTCCACAAATGACAGATAATGGATTTTTCATTTAGCTGACTCTTCTTCTCTTTGGTCCCTGGTTTCTCAGAGTCTGCTACACAGATTCTCTCTTTAGGGTCAGATCATTCCCAAGGGGTACTCAGGTTTCAAAATAACTTGAGCCTGGCTTTCTCATGTGTGTGGCCCTCCTCCCATCTGTGCCCAAAGTAAAGGAGATGAGCAGGTCTCAACATAACAGCAGTTTTCTCTTATTCCACTGTCAAAGCAGCTAAACAGCCTCTTCCTCATCCTCACTATGGACTTAGACACAATCCAGTGCATCCTCCCTTACTGCAGATGATTCAACTCTTCTGACATAAGGTCAAGGGGAAAATACGTGGGTAGGTGGGGTGGGGTCTTACAGCACTCTTTTCTCTTAAAAAAAATTCTGCTCTTAACTTTTTCCTATCCTTTAATAACCCACCTCCTTTATGGCCTAAATATCTATGAATTATAGTTCTTTACTACCTAGTTTAAATTTCTGCATGGTGGCCCCTTTGACAACTCACTTTGATATAGGATACCAATAATCATAGCATCTGAACCACACACATTTTCATTTTCACATACATTACACTGAATATAAAACTCTTGGTTCATAACTTCTCTACCACAGATTCTATAGATAGCCTGCTCTCTCTGCCGCCTAGAGGCTGGTAGATTTTTTTTTCCCTTTGATCTTTGAAATACAGGAATTTTACCAGGGTATGTCCAGGTGTTAGATTTTTTTCATTCGTTTTCTGGTTTTTCATGTGCCTCTTTGATTTGTAGACTCAGGAAACTTTCCCTTCCCCCTAATCATTTAAGTATTTTTTTCTCATTAACTTCTTCTTTTTAAAATTCATTTTATAAGTATATTGGATCTCCTAGATCAGCCCAAGTGTCTCCAGTCTTACTTCTCTGATCATTTTTATCTGTTTATATTTTTCCTCTGAGATATGGAAAAATTGTATGATCCTGACTTTTATTCCCTGACTTTGTTTTTACTATTTAAAATCTTCCTGACTGCCTTCATTCTAACATTTTCTTTTCTTTCTTTCTTTGGTAGATACTTGTTTCTTCTTTGTAACTATAATGCCTACTTTCATAAATACAATGAAATCTGGATCATTTTGAAAGGACATTTCAGGAAATATCTTTTTTACTGTTCACTGCAATAACAATTTCATGGGAAAATATGTGCAGTGATGCTTCATTGTACATACCTTCTTTTGGAGTGTGGTCTCTTATTCCATATCCTGTGAGGGTCATTCTCAGAAAGAGCTGTGCTTGTACAAATGGGAGTTGAAATGGGTTCTGCTGGATATTGTGTGAGTTTTTTCCCAGACAGTCCAGATATTGACAAAGCAAGAAGGAAGGGGAAAGTTTAAATTTACTGTGTTCTCACTTGATTCATTTGTAGATTAACAAAATGGAGAGGAAGCGAATGGTTGAACATCACCGTGGAGGAAGTTTACTTCTGTGTAGTAATTTGTTATGATGTCGATTTGTTTTCTGTGTTTGTTGTGATAGCCAGGAATTAGTTGGAGTTGTGTGTGTATGGTTAAGATGATTTTCACTACATATAAGTAATTTGTGCTGCCGCATGCTCCCAGCTTGGTGTGGCCTCTAGCAATTGGTGTGCTTCTTGGAGTCACTGGTTAAGATCCACATGTAACTTCTGACCACTTCCTTTTAATGAGAGGGTGTTGTATGATTTTTACTGAAGGTTCTTCTTACAGACCAGACATGCAGAGATTCAACTGACCTACTTTCAATCTAGTCATGGCCAGACCATTTCTAATGGAAATTCCTCCAAGTTACTGGTGTAGAGACTTTTGTTCTTCTTTGGTTTCCAGTTTTGTTGCAGTATTTTCTGTGTTGTTATATTTTGCTAGTGTTTCCAAAGGGGAATCAGCAAGGTGGAGATAGGGGGAAAGAAGAGTCTGGTATGTGTGTTGTCATCTAGCTCGGAAGTAGCATGCAAGATTTAAGGGACCCACAAAGTATGGGATTATCATCTATATCAGAGGTCAGTAGATTTTTAATTGAATATCCCCACTAGGAAAAATAATACACACGCATATGAAATAAATGCTTTTTTGAATTGTTTAATTAGAAGTTTCATTATATTCTTCCAGAAACCTCTACTGTAAGGGAATTCTATCTTGGAAACCACTGATCTAGATCTTATAATTCTCATCTATTTAGTAAATATTTGAGTGTCTAATGTCACCAACACTGCGTTTAGAAATGTATGACACTTATACAACCATTTTATAGCCATTTCACAATTCAAAAGGATATCAGTGACCGAATTTAACATTAAATCTATTGTTCCATTTTTCCAAATTCTTTTTACTGTGATTTTATGAATTTTTAAAAATATGGCATTGTAGTGTATACTTATCTATCCCTAAAGGTGATTTTCTTTACAAATAAATCTTTGACATATGAGGATACTTTAAAAAATTCTCATGAAAATATTCATATTATCTTTTAATTCTACTTTTCCATGAACTTTCTGAAGTGCCCTTGTATGAGCCAATGTCTCTTTACTCCCATTTGGGGTGAATATCTACTGTGTAGACAGCACTATGTTTTGGTGACACTACTGTAAGCAGAGATGACACAGATCTTATTTTTGGAGCATATAGTCATAAACCACATAATAACAGAAAAAGTAAAATTAAAATTCTAGAAAAAGTTATGGGGGAAAATGGGTAAAAGGGGGTGCATTAGTCCATTTTGTGTTGCTATAACAGAAATACCTGACACTGGGTGATTTATAAAGAAGAGAGTTTTATTTGGCTTATGATTCTGGGACAGCTGCATCTGGCACGGGCCTCAGGCTGCTTCTACTCATGGTTTTCTGTCTGTTTTAGTCCGTTTTGTGTTGCTATAACAGAAATACCCGAGACTGGGGAATTTATAAGGAAAAGAGGGTTATTTGACTTACGATTCTGGGACAGCTGCAGCTGGCACAGGCCTCAGGCTGCTTCTACTCATGGTGGAAAAGTGGCAGGCAGCCAGCGGGTACAAGCAGATCACATGGCGAGAGGAAGCAAGAGAGAGAGAGAGGAGGTGCCAGGGTCCTTTAAACAACAAGCTCTAACAGGAAGTAATAGAGCGAGAACTCACTCATTATCCTCCCTCCCCCAGGGAGAGCATTAATCCATTCATGAGGAATCCGCGCCATGACTCAATCAGTTTCCAACACTGCCACATTGGGGATCAAATTTCCACATGAGTTTTGGAGGGGACAACACATCCAAAGTCCATCAGGGGGCTTTAACCACAGTCAGGGATGTCAACGTAGTTTAATTGCAGAAGTAACTATTAAACTGAGGTCTAAAGCCATTATAAGTGTTTACTAAGTGAACTGGTGAGAAAGAGTATGAGCAAGAGTGGGTTGTCCAAAGTCCAGGCTGAGGGAAGAGGACCTGCGGGGACCCCGTATGGCTGAAGAGAACAGTGCAGAGCAGAGGAATGGAAACGAGCCTGTGTGGCTGGAGGGCAGAGAGGAATAGGCAGTATCATGCAGCATGAGGTTGGTGACAGTGGTAATGAGGGGAGGTGGGAACGGTTGTCTCAGCCATTCCAAGCATTGTCCTAAGGAGTGTTCTGTCGAAGGCAGGGTTGGGGTGATTTGATCATATCTGTACTTTGGAAGGACTACAGGAGCATTTTCAAATGTTATGTCATTTGTGAACTAGAAAAGGAGAAAATCACATTTTTTTTTGAAGGGACAAAGAAATAAAAAGGAAGGTAGTTTTGTCATTTTTTTAAAGGCAGTACAAACATGATTTTGGGATATATCAGTGCTCTCAGTGAGCACTTTCATCACTGTTTTTGCCTTTATATCCTCCTGCATAGTGCTAGTTTCTAAACTTGACTGTCCATCAGTATCACATGAGGAATATAAAAGAATATTTAAAAAGGTATAGAAGTCTGGGCCCCACCCTAGAACTATTGCCTTATAATTTCTACAAGTGGTACACCAGAATCTATATTAAACAAAACAGATCCTTCCCAAGTGATTCTAGTGCATCAAATTTAATATTGATCCCCAAGCAGCTGTTGGAGTATTGTTGCCCATTCCCCAGTTAGGAGACTTTTCAGTCCCCGTTCTTTTCACATTAACAAGTAGTAAATACACATTTTGTGCATTGGTAATACAAACATCCATTTACTTTTTAACGTATCTTGTTATTACAGGTAGATGGCACAAACCTGCAGGGTTTTACCAATCAGCAAGCAGTAGAGGTATTGCGACACACAGGACAAACTGTGCGCCTGACGCTGATGAGGAGAGGAACAAAGCAGGAAGCCGAGTTCACGTCAAGGGAGGACGTCACAAAAGACACAGACTTGTGTCCTCTTAATGCCATCATAGGCAAAGGTAATGCCAGAGTAATCTGGTTTTAAGTTATACCTTTCTATTATTTAGATTTTTTCTAATTCTGAAATAATCTATTTAAAGAATGGTTTTTACCTTCAGTTTATTCATTATGAACCAAGTAAAAAGAGGAAGTTTGATAAAGTCAGGATTAACTGGAACCAGCAATGTGTCCATTAACTATAACATGAGCTTTTCAGTGAAGCCAATTTCTTTCTATCCTATTCATGCAGCCACCACATCTCAATCAGAAACATGCAGAGTCATTTACCTTTCTGTTCCTATTACATTCGGATGCAATCTTTAGGAGGACATCCAAACTTTAGCTGTTCTACCTGGGTTAGTTATGTGAGCCCTATGGTAATGCTAAATGCCCAACCTTCGCCTGAAGGAATCAGTTTTTTTTTTTTTCCTTTTTGTCTTTTTTACTGACCGGTAATGGGTTCGCAACACTCGGTGTTGCGCCTGTACCGGGGACTGGCAAGGGGATCGCAACCCTTGGTGTCGCGCCTGCACTGCGCTCAGCCAGTGAGCGGGAACCGGTCTCCACATGGGATCCGAACCCTCCGCGGGAGTGCCGCCACGCTCCCAAGCGGCGCACTCTCCAGTGTGCCACCGGGCCAGCCTGGAATCAGTTTTAACTCCAAATTTAGAAATGTCATTCATAAGATGTTTGTATGTGAATATCTCTGAAAATTACTGAAATCTCCATGTAGTTCACTGACAAAAGGGTTTATTGGTAGCAATCAGTCTGTTGGCTGGAAAATGCTATTTCATTTCTAAACCTGCTGACTATTTCTAAACTGCCATATACTACTACCTGAGGTACTAAGAAACAGGGAGGCAAGTCACAGAAGAAATGTACTTCTTTGTGCATTAACTGGAGAACTTTCCTTTAAGTGCATATGGTTATCGAGGTATTCATCTCCCGAAAATACACACTCATTTAGGTGTTCAAATAAATACAGTGGGTTTAGAAACATTCAAGTGCTTGATTATATGAAAGATATAACTACTAAAATATTTTTATCTTTAAGAAAATTATGAAAAAGTTGAAGATTCTTCATCTTTGAGGAGAAATACCAACATATTACCAGTTGAAGAAGAAGGTAAACACCTAGAGCCAGATTATTATGTTCTTTATTATTTTTTTAGAGAAATGGTTTTTACAAATGTGATTAAGCCTTTATGGATATACTATGTTACTAAAAAATCTTTCAAAAAGAAATGCTTGCAAATCCCTATTTATAAGTGGTATTAATTGCTCTCATAGATTAAAATAGTTCATTTATATCTGGTATATTTACTTGCTGAGTCAGTCTATTCTTTTTTCTACTTTCTTTTCTTTTTTTTTTTTTAAACCGGAACCCTTTGGAATCAATTGTATACATGGTTTTAATTTAATCCTCCTGTTTCTGTACAGGTGACATGTCTCTACCTTATTGAGCAGACAATAAAATTATAAAGTACTTTAAAATAAACACAAGAGAGTCTTTTATGTATAAACACTTATGAATGAAACTATCCAATTTTGGGAGAATTCTCACTTTTCAATTTTTCAAGAGTTCTAATTTTTAATATTGGGAAGTTGGTTTAGAGAGTAATCATACAGATAAATGATCAAACCTTTCTGAGAATTCTTTCACTATAAACCTAGGATCCATAAAGCTGTTTAAAAATTTCTTTGGAGCAGCATCGTTTTATTTAGTTTTGTGAGAATATTGCTGCCATTTTTTAATGTTGTGTGCTCTGTGCTTCTTTTACCTGTCAGATTGCTTTTGGTACTTTGGTAACTTAAACCCTGCTAAGGGTCAGACATGTCCCCCAGAAGTTCATATATTAGAAACTTGGTCTTCACTGTAACAGTGTTAAGAGGGTAGGAAATCCAATTATGGTACTTGGAAGGTGGGGCCTTTAAGAGGTAATTGGATTGTGAGGGCTGTGCCTTCATGAATGGATTAATCCATTCATTGATGGAGTAGTGGATTGATGGTATAAAGCGTTGTCGTGGGGGGGTTCTAATGACTTTACATGTGAGAAGGTTAGCTGCTCTTGCTCATGACATTCTCGCCATGTGGTACCCTGCATTGCCAAGGGGCCTCTATAGTGAATCCCCATCAGCCTTCACCTGATATGACCCCTGGACTGTGGACTTCCTAGCATCCCAAACTGTAAGAAATAAATTTCATTCCTTTATAGATTACCCAGTTTCAGGTAGTCTCTTGTAAGCAACAGAGATGAACTGATATAAACCCACTAAACAAAGTTTAAAACTGAACTCCCTCCCTTCATGTGTATTCTACCCTTTACTAAGTAATTAGTATTCACTATTCAGTACATTGCTATATAATTATATTGCAAATACTGAAGCTTTGTAGTTCTTTACCATATCTACTCCTTCATTATTGAAATTTTTTTCCTGCTGAAAGTTTTGATTTATTTTTATTATTTTAAAGCAATATTTGTGTTTGCAAAGATATCCCAGAAGGGAGGTGTGTAGCATTTGCATGTATTAATCATATTCTGCCATTTTTACACTAATAGATGAAGAAATTATTTAGGCTAAAGTGAATGTCAATAGTAGTGAGAAAGGATAAAAATGTTTCAGAGCATGAAACTTGAGATTGTAAATAGGGATGGTGTGGGGGTTGTTTGGAAAGCTCAGAACTATCTATTTTGTTTTGATGAAGGCAGCTAATGAGAAATCTGCATACGTGTGTGGGAGGATAGATGAGGCAGGCTCAGGATTTAGAATCAGGAGTCCCAGAATCTTTTTTAAACAAAGAAAACAAGCAAAAACTAAGTGATTCAAATACATCTGTCTTAGTACTAGTCCTTAGAAAAGGGATAAAATATCATTGTCTCTTCCACAGATATTTGACTCCTTATGCAGTCCTGGACAAAACGTTTGACTTATTAAGATCAGAGGACTAGACTTTATGATGTTAAAAATCTGCCTAAAATTTAGTCTTGGGGCAGTTGGGAGAGAGTGAAAATGGAGAGTTGCGTGAACCTTGGTTGGTAGAGTGAACATAAATCTCAGACTTTTTATCAGCAACTTACTGATACCCTACTTTCTCCATTATAATCCCATCCTGCTCAAATCACTGCATAGCTGTGTAAATGCAACAGACTCAGAGAAAGGAAGTGTGGGAGGAGGTAGAATCTGAACCCACCCTCCTTGTTCTCTCCTGTAATCTGTGTTCTTTCCTGCCTAATCATCCATCTCTGGACTGAATTTAATTTTGAAGAGAAAACACTTATTTTGTGGGACCAGTCTCCAGATTAAAAAAAGAAAAATATATATAAATGTGTGTGTGTGTGTGTCTGTGTGTGTGTGTGTGTGTGTGTATGCACAGCTTATTGTTTCCAATTTCTCAAGGAGAAAACAGAATCATTTTATTAAGGCATAGCAAATGTGTAAAATATGCCTGGAGTGAACGCTCCTTAATTCCCACTAAAGAGGCGGCAGTTAATGAGAAATCTGAATTTTGGAACACTTTAAATTTGAAATTTGAATGCTAAATAGACTATTAAAAATTAGAGAGTAGAGATTTTTAAAAGATAACTCTTATGAGTAAAAACTGTAATGAACTACAGAAATTTAAAAATATGACTTCAAAATTCTTCTCAGTCTCTTGTTTAGCTACACATTTTAAATTCAGTATTATTTACGTAATTTGCTTAGTGGGTTTTGTTCCTTTTTTAAAAAATTTCCCTTTTTGCCAGTTAGTGGGATTCTAATTATAGGCTTTTATTTTAATGGACGATCTCAGTTTTTCATTGTTTCTTCTTTTTTAAATATTTTCTCATTGTACATGGATTTGTATATATTTTTTACTTAATTTTTCTGGTTTGTTTTTGCTAAGTAATAAAATACTCCTTTTTACCCCTAAAGAACTAAATGAAAATGAAAGAGATAAACTAACATAGAAGGTGTCATAGCTTTACCAAGTGAATCCTGGAGCAATTGCGAATCCTCATTCTTTTAAATAAAAGATAATATGTGGACACGTTAGTGGAAATGTAGTTAAGATTTAAAAGACATCCATTAAAAGAGAATAGTGTTGAACATGCAAAATGATAGAGTTCTAAGTTAAATTACTAAAATAAGTATAGAAATAAGGGTAACCACATATTGGTGCAATAGACAGGTTCTGATCCCAGCATCCCTTGTACAGAATATTGGGATATGGAGATTTTTGTAGTTATCACTGACTTAATTGCCTTGACTGTTTCAGGGTATCCATTACTATCAGCAGAGATAGAAGAAATAGAAGATGCCCAACCACAAGAAGCTGCCCTGCTGACCAAGTGGCAAAGGATTATGGGAATTAACTATGAGATAGTGGTAGGTTAGCTTACCCTCCCTCATTTCCTAACTTGTAACTGTATTTGAGCAGGAAGTTCATGGCAACAATAAAGATAGTCATCAGAAAGATTCCCAGAAAAGTGGGAAATGTCCAATGCTTTTTTTAGAATACCTAAATGTGCTGATTCAGGTATTAAAAAATTCAGGTTGGAGAAAGTTGTGTAGTAACCAGGGAACTGAAATAAATGGGTGGGAGTTTTAGAATTTATATTTCATCACTATTTTAATATTTCTGGTAGTAGTGTAAAGAATATAGATGTGAGAAAAGGTTTTTCTGATTCTTAAACCTTTGAATTATAGAAAGAATCAGAATAGAGTGACAGAGATTACTTAAAAATAAAACAAAAATTGTCATGACCTGAGTACACAGTTGTAAAAGGACTCTTTCCTATTTCTTATCACTTTTATGTCTTTACCTTCCTTAAGAGGTTAATTCTACATAGTTTTTTCATATCACTTATGCCGTAGTGAAAGTTTTATGTTTATTAACAGTTTGTATATCTAGCATAGCCAGTTGTAATCTGCTATCCTAAAAAGGGGTCTGACAGAGTTGAAACAAATTATCACTCTTTGCATGCACACCAGCAAATTTCAGGGATTTCAAAAGGAAAAATAAAATACTATATTGGGTAGAATTTTTCACATTGCTTATAATACTCATGTAACGCTGGATTAGAAGAGATAAAAGGCAACAAATAAGGACATATATTATTAACTAGCACTTATTGAGCACTTGATGCCAAGCTGTGTTCTTAGTGTTTCACTTATTCCCCATGACAGTCTATTTTTTTAAACAGTCAAGATGATTAACAGTCAAATATGAATTGAGTAAGTACAACTGTTATTACCATTTTAAATTGAGTCAAGGAAAAATTCAGTAAGGTCATTGATGGATGGGAGGGGGGAGGAAGGAATCGGTAAAGGGACACGAAAATCAACTGCATTGTACATTGATAAAATAAAATAAAATATAAAAAAATACAATAAGGTCCATTTTAACAGTGATTAAAATGAAATGAAAATTTAGGGATTCCTTTTATGGAGTAGGGTTAACATGGCTGGCACACATAACTGAGACTGCAGAGGTGGTAATTGAATAATGAAGGGGACCCTTTGACTAGCCATTTTGTCACAGACATCAGGCCCTAGACTCAACTTTGAACTGAGCTTTGTGCCCATGCTGTCTTGGTGGCACTCTCAGTACTGTGTCAAGGGCAGAAGTGTGCAATACATGAGAAAGAACTAAGTTATTTATGGTCCCTGGTCAGACAGAGTTAAGTAAGAAACAGATCCGACTTCAGATTTTTTGCTATGTTGTACAGAGTAAATGAAAGCACAGAAAGAGTGGTGTGTATAGCAGAGAGGATTAATGGACATTATCAGTGGGGACCTGGAAGGCTTCTCAGAGGAAGTGATGTCTAAATTGGATTTTCAAGAGTGAGAAGGATTTCATCCAGCATTAGATTTCAGTCAGATGATGATGTTTCTGATATTGACCTTGTACATATTATTATTAAGATTTGGAAAAGCTCTTTGTAAGTCAAACTGTTTTTCTCAGTTATTTTATCCCTCAGTTTCCTTAACTATAAAAGTTTTGAAGTAGATCATTTTTAGCATACCTTCTGATTTTAATATTATAATGATTGAACTATGCATGAAAATAGGCAATTTCCTAACATTTCTTTATTACTTAGTGTAACAGTAGGAAGTAGGAAGTCCATTTTCTTGTTTTAAGCTTTGATTCACTTTTAAGGACCGTTGTTGTCCCTTGATACAGCTAAGATCAGGAGTGTGGTTCTAGGTTCATACTGCTTGGGTTCAAAGCCCTTTTCTAGCTGAGCAACTCCAGTTAAAGTAACCTCGCTGAACCTCATCTTCCTAATTTGGGAAACAAATTAGGAGAAAAATTGTACCTATTTATGAGAAGCAGATGACGTGCTCTGTAATAGGATTAGCACAGTCCCTGGCACGTAGCAAGTGCTGTGTATATTTTCAACAGTATCGTTTGAGCTCAGGCTCTGAGCTGCATCTGTTAGCATCTGTAGGCATTGAAAAGAATCTTGGGTGCTTGTAGCTGGCTGCTTCCTTTTGGGCTTTGTTAGTTCATGAAACCTATAGCCATTAGTACTCTTTCAAAGGCAAAGCTCCAAAGATTTGCAGGTTTACGATAAGGTTTTTGAAGCTTTGGTGAGAAAGTTGGCTGTTTTGGGGTGAACATAAAATGTCTGCATGAATAAAATAAAAGGAAGAATATTGGAGTTGTGATGATTTTTCTCCTTTCAGGTGGCCCATGTGAGCAAGTTTAGTGAAAACAGTGGGTTGGGGATAAGTCTGGAAGCAGCAGTGGGACATCATTTTATCCGATCTGTTCTACCAGAAGGTCCTGTTGGACACAGTGGGAAGCTTTTCAGTGGAGACGAACTATTGGAAGTAAGATGCTATTCCTTTTCCTCCTTAGATAAGACTGAAAAGGCTGCTAAGGCTTAATGTGGTGAATAAGTAAGTTCTTATTTTAATTTACCCCTCCAAAAGGTACTTGAGAGAGATCTACAAATAAAAATAACTCAAAGCAGAAATTTCAAATCTGTGTGTGCATTGAGCTTCAGACCTAATTCCATGCTGTTTCCCCCCCCGCCCCCTTAGTTAGGTCCAGAGAACTATAAACAAATTTTTTGAAAATTTTTTAACATTTATTCAATTTTTAGAATAAGTAAATATATATTTACATGTTCCAAAATCACAGGGGATAAGCAGGAAAAAGTCTCCTGTCTGTCTCATCCACCCATTTCTCATCACCTTTCATTGGGTATCTACTGGTATATTTTTTTTCTGAGCAGTCTGCCAGTATTTTTAATGCATAAGTAAGAAAATTTGAATGTAAACTCCCCCCGCCTTTTTAAAACATGCTAGCATACAATATATGCCATTTTCTATTTTTTCCACTTAATAATTACAAAAAATATCATTTTTTTAATAACCACCTTCTTTTCTTGTTCAATCTTTGGGAATATTTTTGACTCTCATTTTCCTAACTCCTACACTGACAGATCGAACATGGATGAAAGCTAATGGTTTTCCTGTGAGTACTTTAGAAGCTCCAATTGCAACAAAACTCTAAACCTGAATGTAAATTGTTTTAGATGGTACTTCCACAGGTCTCACTACAGATCTAAGCACAGCAGAACTGTGGTAATCACCACAGTAAAATTTATATTTATTTAATAAAAATTGTTTTCAAAAGAATATTCATATTATGAAATGTTCTTTCTTAGACAGTGTATCTTTTTCCACAGGTAAATGGCATAACGTTACTTGGGGAAAATCACCAAGATGTGGTGAATATTTTAAAGGAACTGCCTATAGAAGTCACAATGGTGTGCTGTCGTCGAACTGTGCCCCCTACTACCCAATCAGATTTGGATAGCCTGGACTTATGTGATATTGAGCTAACAGAGAAGGTATGAGATTTGCATATGTGAGGCTAATCTGAATATATGATGGAAGCCTACATGGCATTAATAACTTCGTAAAGCCATTTTTCTTTTATTTGGAATTTTCCTCACATGGCCCCTGGCTTACAGGATAGACCTTGAAGTCAGACAGACCTGGGTTTGAATCAAACTTGACACTTACTAGTTGTGCAGCCTTGGAAAAGTCAGTTCATGTCTCTGAACCTCAGTTTTCTCCTCTGTAAAATGTAAGTCATGATGCCTGTCTCAGAGAGTTGCTCTGAAGGTTAAATAAGGTAATGTAATGATGTTAGATATTATTGCACACTACGTACTTGTATAATTTACTTGCAATATTTCTGTTAAATAGATGCTCATATGTCCCCATTAGGCGAAGAGAAAACTGAACTGTATAAATAATGCATATATAGTACATATGTGGTAAAAGATACATACAGTATACACATAGTATATTGTTTAGTGAATGGCTAAAATATGGAGAGACCCATCATTTCTGTGTGTGTAGGTTTTGCTTATTTGTACACTATAGTTTTAAAATATGAGAAATTTGAGTTCATAATACTACATGACAGGTAATTCTCTGTGATATCCAGAAACTCCTGTTTTCCTGTTTGCTTATTCTTTTCCATTCAGATCAAAATGTCAAGAAGTAGAGCTAATCGGCTTTTCTGAGGATATGCAATACATATAAGTTAAGATCTGGATTTCACACAACTCATAGTCTAGTCAAATCTCATGTGAGGTATAAGAAGAGATGATGTTAGGAGTTGATTTACATTACACTGAAGGAATCAGTACAATGGAATAATTTTCAAGACTTTGAAGAATAAGGTGCATAATTTAATATTCATGTAGGTGATTAGAATAGGGTAAAACAAGAAACATAATTCCAAATTGTGTAGCACTCAAAGGCTAGCACTGTGTATATTCATACATATTTTACGTGGTATAAATGGAATTATTACAGTAAAGCAGGTAGACATATTTGTGTTTGTGGTCCTAGGCTGTGCAGTAATTGATTAACAGCAAAGATAGTATACAAACTGGAATTCCATACTTATAAATATATCTGTCTTAAATCCAGTATGCTCATACATGTGAACAAAGTTGAATTAACCTATGTTCACTTTAATTAGTTAATTAATTAATTAAATTATTCTTTACTGAAAGAAGCGAACATTTTGAATCTCTGTTTCTGTGTCAGGTGCTTTATAACTGTTACCTCTTTTAATCCTCAAAAAGTTCTATGAGATGGGTGACTATGAAGCCCAGATTAAGAATATTGCTCCAGGTAACACAGATAAGAAATCGTAGAGACAGGTTTCAAGCAGGGGCGAATCTGATTTTAAATCTTATGTCTTGCCACTGTGTACATTAGTTTATTAATGAAATAATCATGTGCATAAGTCATAACATTTCAGAACCCTTATTTGCATAGAATACAGAACATTACACATATCCATTTTCTCTTGAATTATTCTTATTATCATTAAGAATTCTTTTTAATATAAAAATACTTTTTAATATAAAAATTCTTTTTAATATAAAAATACTTTTTTTTCCTGATTGTTGAGGTGATTCAGACACTGATGAAAAAAGTGAAAATCACCCACAATCATGCTGCTGTGATGTAACCATTGTGTATTTTTATAGGAGATATTTGAACCATGTATTTTCAATTCCTGTTACACTTAGGTATTTTTCCTACTTTAAGAACTTTCAGTGATTACTACCTTAACGCCTAAAGGTTTTATGATAAGCTATTGCTACTCTTAACTTGAGAATGTTTTGGTCTGAGTAGAGGCTGGGAATCTCCCTTTTCCTTGTAGTGTTGGTTCTTGTATCTGCTAATCTAGTGCCTGTGAAATAAGAGCTGTCTGGTCTGTTATCCAGCCACATGTAGATCTAGGTGAGTTCATCGGGTCCTCAGAGACAGAGGATCCAGTGCTGGCGGTGACTGATGTGGGTCAGAATACGGAGGAAGTTCAAGCTCCTTTGGCCATGTGGGAGGCTGGCATTCAGCACATAGAGCTGGACAAAGGAAGCAGAGGACTTGGTTTTAGCATTTTAGATTATCAGGTAAATATATGCTACTTTTTAACAAATTTTTTAAAAAATATGCAATATACCAAAAGTATATTATTAACAGAGAAAAAGCAGATAATATTTTAGAGTCATAAGGGACATTTTCTTGTTTCTAGTCAGTATTTCAAAACAGAATTTATATGCTTCATTGATTATCATAAAGGGTTTCTTTGAACATTGAATTTTTTGAGCTATTTTATATTTTAGCTCTTAGGAATTTGAAGAACATGCAGAATACATATTAGGAATATCATAGAAATATAGAGGTTTTCTTGGTCATCTGGGGAGTATTTTTATGATATTTTTATTTCCATGCTCTCAATTGATGGCTTATATTTTAATGTCAAAGTATTAGATATTTATTTCTTTTGTCTAATGTGAATGATAAATTTATAATTTTTATATTATAAATTCTGGTATTCCAGTCATTTGACTAATATTATGAATATGCTTAGATTGGTCAAGTATGGCCTGTGTCCATACCTGCATTGTGTTCTATGCGGAGTAAATGAGAAAATGCTACAGCCTGTCTGCATGCAGCTGTTGCTGCTTATTAATACTGAACCAGAAAGTCAGCTCAGGTGACTCCAGGGAGTTGTGTTCATAGGGCCTAATTCTGGAACCTTGTTCTAATATTGATTACTATGTATCTGAAAACACTGCGTCACCGAATACTATGTCGCCTCTGTCTATATTTCTACATTTCAGAAGGACAGGTCCTACCTTGAGTACACTCACAACTAGTGGTGAGTTGATGTTCCGTACAGAACACCCTTTTTAACAAGCTGGAACCTTGTTCTAATATTGATTACTATGTATCTGAAAACACTGCGTCACCGAATACTATATCGCCTCTGTCTATATTTCTACATTTCAGAAGGACAGGTCCTACCTTGAGTACACTCACAACTAGTGGTGAGTTGATGTTCCATACAGAACACCCTTTTTAACAACTGCTGTTGTTAATAATATACTTGACTTTTAGCCACAAATGATAGCTGTGAAATTTGACAACTTATCAAATATTAAAATTATCATTTTAAAGTTGTCTGTACAATTTAAGAGGTCTATTCAGGAACATTAGCAAGTGAGGGTACCATTGTTTCAGGTGAACTTTTCTTAAACTCTGAAATGGAGATAACCTTTGCCCAGATAATTTATTAGAAATTTTGAATGAAATTTTTAAAAGACAGTTGAAACAATTTCCCACCCAGTACAATTCACAGTAGACAACCTGTAAAAAAATATTTCAATGTGAAAATGAGCAGACTTTTTCCTTTCCATTTCTGTCAGGATCCTATTGATCCGGCAAGCACTGTGATTGTAATTCGTTCTTTGGTGCCTGGTGGCATTGCTGAAAAGGACGGACGACTTCTTCCTGGAGACAGACTCATGTTTGTCAATGACATTAACTTGGAAAACAGCAGTCTTGAAGAAGCTGTAGAAGCACTGAAAGGAGCACCATCAGGAACTGTGAGAATAGGAGTTGCCAAGCCTTTACCTGTAAGAATCTGGGTTTTTATTGAATTCTTTTTATATTTGGGAAAAAAAAAAAATGGCTCATAGACTTACTTTTAGCTTCAGGTGTTCTTATGATTGANTGCTGTTGTTAATAATATACTTGACTTTTAGCCACAAATGATAGCTGTGAAATTTGACAACTTATCAAATATTAAAATTATCATTTTAAAGTTGTCTGTACAATTTAAGAGGTCTATTCAGGAACATTAGCAAGTGAGGGTACCATTGTTTCAGGTGAACTTTTCTTAAACTCTGAAATGGAGATAACCTTTGCCCAGATAATTTATTAGAAATTTTGAATGAAATTTTTAAAAGACAGTTGAAACAATTTCCCACCCAGTACAATTCACAGTAGACAACCTGTAAAAAAATATTTCAATGTGAAAATGAGCAGACTTTTTCCTTTCCATTTCTGTCAGGATCCTATTGATCCGGCAAGCACTGTGATTGTAATTCGTTCTTTGGTGCCTGGTGGCATTGCTGAAAAGGACGGACGACTTCTTCCTGGAGACAGACTCATGTTTGTCAATGACATTAACTTGGAAAACAGCAGTCTTGAAGAAGCTGTAGAAGCACTGAAAGGAGCACCATCAGGAACTGTGAGAATAGGAGTTGCCAAGCCTTTACCTGTAAGAATCTGGGTTTTTATTGAATTCTTTTTATATTTGGGAAAAAAAAAAATGGCTCATAGACTTACTTTTAGCTTCAGGTGTTCTTATGATTGTGCCTTTACCTGTAAGAATCTGGGTTTTTATTGAATTCTTTTTATATTTGGGAAAAAAAAAAAATGGCTCATAGACTTACTTTTAGCTTCAGGTGTTCTTATGATTGACTCATGGTTTTGGTACTTCTCATCAACGTGGTTAGTGGTTCCATGGATATAAAGATTTAATTTTTAGTAAGAATTTTTAAAAGAATTAAAAAAAGAAAAAGCCAAGAAATTCAGAAATAAATTTATAACTTACTGCTTTGTGGTTCACACTGGACATTTTTTATTCAATGATAAGTTCATGATGAATGCAGAATCAAATATTTTCAAAGAAATATGGCTTAAAATACTAATACAAATGTAGTGGGGTATTATAAAAATTAATAGCATTAATAACTAAGGGTAGTAATCACAGTGGAATAAAGTAAAAATCTCAGAAAGAGTGTCTTCAATTCCTGAATTTGTGGACTTTAACACATTTGTTGTCTAATTACTACAGAGCAGGAAATTGAACTTTCTAAAATGGGTTCATCAGTTTGTGGTTCTCCTCCTGGGAGGGAATCACTTCCATATTATTAATTACTACAATATTAGAAACAACTAATGAATGTATGCTACATAAAGAAGTATGTTTTATTAGGTGTAGTGATTACAACATGGCACTTATCACTGTATTGCGATTAAATATTAGAGACATTTTCAATAGTTGTGGGTTTTGCCAGTGTATAAATAAATATAGTTTTAAATGGAAGGGCAAATATACCTTCTCTGAAGAAAATGCAAACACATCGATAGATTTGCATAAGCAGCAATATGGATTCGTTGATTTCTGTGAAAGAATTTTTTCAAATCATAAGCTTTGTTAATATATTTCAGATGTTAAGTTGTTCATGTGCCACTTTTTATTCCATAAAGAATTTCAATAACCTATGAAAATATATTTATGAAAAAAGGAATAAGAGAGGGAGGGAGGGAAGAATCAAGAACATGATAATTCAACCTAAAATCAAAACAGGATTGTAGAATCTTAACAAAAGATCAATTCAAAGGGGAATATAAGAATGAAGATAGGCTGTCATGGGACTCTACATATTTATTAAAGTTGGACCATAAATATACTTCTGATCTTTCTGTTTGACAATGAGAAATGGCAAACATGCCTCAGTTATATGTTTTTTACTGCCCTTAAGGGGAAACCACATGTTATTCAGAAGTAAGCAAAGTCCTTTTTTCCAGCCAGTTCCAAAATAAATTTTTTAATGACAATATTTGATATTTCAAATTCAATATGCATTGCAGCATATGATAAATGTCTCTATTAGCTAGAGTGAGGTTTAATAAATAGTAAACTCATGTGTGGGAAAAAGATGAAAAACGGTTTCATTTACAGTACTACTTCTGCATGAATTGCTGGTACAGGGTGATGTAGGCAAGACAATTTTATTTAAATATGTTAGCCCAATTTTTTCTGAGATTGGAGTAAAAACATTAGGTTTTCTGTCACAGTGATCAAGGTTATAATATAATAGCTTAGGAGTGAGATTTAAGCAGACTGTGTACATGCAGAGTTTTTTTGTTGTTGTTGTTGTTGTTTAAGATATAAGCCATGCTAAATTAAGGCACTTCGCAATAGGGTTTAGTAACATTTCTTGTCAAGTAAATTATATTCTTTATAATAAAGTTCTAGTAGGGGATGACAGAGAAGTTGATTCTTTTTAATGTTTTATTCTTCTGCAGTTTCTTTTATGTCTTAACACCTAAAAGTTGCCTTATTTCTATATTAGAAAGTCATTGTTTGCCCACAATATTTGGCAGATAAAAATGACCAAAAGATTATTATATCATGAAAAAATTGTTGATTTTGATAATCTTTTATAAGAAGAATGAAAAAAATTAGTAGAAAGGGAGTTTCATCTAACCTATGATACTCATATTAGAATAAATATCCTTATTATATCTTATCATATAAAAATGTTAATTGTGAATATCAGGTCATACTTATTCCATATTAAAGTCATATGTTATTTGAAAAACTTTCCCATTTTTTTCTCTTCTTCTCTCACTTTTCTGCCCCTTACCCTTTCTTTCCCTCCTTCTTTGCTGTTCTCTCTTCCATGAACTGGTCCTTAAACACCATTCTCCCTGCAGCTTTCACCAGAAGAAGGTTATGTCTCTGCTAAGGAGGATTCCTTTCTCTACCCACCACACTCCTGTGAGGAGGAGGAAGGGCTGGCTGACAAAGCCCTCTTCAGGGCTGACTTGGCTCTGGTTAGTGGCCGTGACTTACCAAGCTTTCCTTTCAGAAATCTTGTGTCTTACTTTGCCTATCAAAATATTCTGAAGTCTTGCTATATTCTTTGCTCATTATGTTTTGGAAGGGCAAACATATTCTCTCCAACTCAAACTCAAATGGTTCTCACAGTTGAAAATGGGAGAAGAACCATAATATATGCGAGAAATATTTGTTGGATTTGTAGGGAAAGTTCAATTAGCATTGTGTTGCATAAACATGTAGAATTAATCTTTATATCATATCTAAAGCTGTTGGAGCACTTTTGTGCTTAGTTTCATACTTGGATATCTCTAGACATTCTTTAACTGTTTTCAGCATTCAGTCGTAAACCAGTGTTTTGGCTACTTTTACTGAGGTAGCAGGTATATTTTTTCCACTAGGTATTAATAGTATGAAAATCATATAAATTGGTTCAGTTATTAAGAGGACAAGAGTTTCTGGAAAAGATAAATCCCATTTTCTGTAAATACATATTTGTAAACATCACTGATTTATTAGAAAATTTTAAGTTAAAATTTTATTTCTACTTGATCTTTATAAAATTTATTGAAATAAAAGGTTTTAGGAGCCACTCTTCTCTTGAAAACCTTACTATCTGGTAAAGGGGACAGTGCTATGTCAATAATTAAAGGGTAAAACTAAATACCAGACATAAATGTACACGTGACATTTATGCAATATAAATATAACAAATTGTACATCCTATTCACAGTACTTCTGCCATTAAAGCTTTGTACCTTTCAACTTTTCGGGGGGGGTGGCAAACATTGTCCAGTGTCACTATAAGGGTATTTTCCCGCTTTTAAAATACTTTTAGTGTTGTTAGACTAGAGAGAGGTTTAAAACCTGTCAAATTCTTCATTATGGGTTTATAACTGATTGTGCCCATCTCATTTTAAACTAGAGTGTGAATTATTTCTTTGACTTTATTATATGTTTTGGCAATCCTAATTTGGGGGGAGACAGTTCATTTTGTTAATATTTTTTTAATTGCAAGGTCATGAAATAGCCATTTGGAAAGTTTTAGCATATATTATAATAAATGCAATAATTTCACATTAAAATACTTAACATAGCAGGTGACTCTTGGCCCTACTCTCCATTGGCATTGTTTGCATTTCAAAACTAGATAGTTTATTATGCTAGGAACTATATAAGTTACTATGGTGCTAAGTAGTGCCCAGCCATAGCAAATTCTTTTTGAAATGTTTCAAGACACAAATATATTATTGTCTTTAAAGTACTACAATAAACAGTATTCTCTCTAGCGTTTACATGGCTTTCTTGAACTTCCTTAAATTAATGCCAATCAAAAAGAAGATTCATTGTTGTTTCCTATTTTCAACTGTGGGAACCATTTGAGTTGGATAGAACATGTTTACCTTTCCAAAATATAATGAACAAAGAATATAGTAGGACTTCTTCATAATATTTTTATGCAAGCTTTGCATCTTATAGTGGTAATAGATGTGGGGTCTTCTCCCTAACCAACGATATAATCCTGGACTGGTTATTCAATTTCTCTGGGCCCTAGTGTTTTATCTGTACAGTAATTAAATGTGTTGATAGTTAGGATCTCTTCTAAGATTCTAAGGAATCAATGATAGGTATGCAAATTCTATTGAGAGTTTTTTCTTTAAAGTTACTTAAAATGAATATTTATTTATTGTAATCCATGACACAAGGCTTAATTAATGCTATCTATTTAGATAGCAAATGCTAAGTATTTGCGGTACTTTCTAGATTGTTATACATAATGCACATTTGTAAAGCATAAACCTCCACACAGTGACTCACTGGTGAATTTGAACCTGTATTTAAAGTATATTATTAGGACTATGAAATATATTTGAAGAAAGGGTCACTTTTAAATAGCCTACCTGTATTTTTAACAAATTTCTGCAACAATGTGATTCGATATAATGTTAAATTTAAAGTATATTATTAGGACTATGAAATATATTTGAAGAAAGGGTCACTTTTAAATAGCCCACCTGTATTTTTAACAAATTTCTGCAACAATGTGATTCGATATAATGTTAAAATGTTTCTAACTTCTTCCGGCTAACCATGTAAATTGAAAACACAGAGAAACAGAGCATGGGGGACTTTGCTATCAAGACAGGCAGAAAATGCTGGTAATATCAGAGAAAGGTAGTATTTATGTCAGTTCTGCGTATTCTAAGGAGTGACTGTGCGTGAACTGCAAAAAGACCTTCAAGCTGGTCATGACTTAATTCTTTCTCTTGGTTCTACCACAGAGGTAGTAACAGGATTTTTAGATAATATGTAGTGAAATTATTTATCTCGCTCTATATGAATTTTCTAACAAAAGTTTATAACAAAGCTTCACCATATCCAGATCATAATTAGGCTCCTTGTTTGTTAGTATAATTTTAGCATGAAATCACAGATTTTCTCTTTGGTTTCTGCAACTCAAATGGTTTTAAAATCTAGTTAAAGATAATTTAAATAAAACATATGGTTTTAGTGAGTTTTGCAAATAGATAATTGCCTAGCTGCGTTCTCAAATAGTTTATTTTATTTGAATAGGAAGTGATAACTTCATTCCTTTTATTATAAAATTATAAGAGTTGTGCATGTGAACTGGATAAAAAGTAAATATTTTCCTTAACTTATAGAAATGTTTAAACTAAAAATCTAAGCCCTTTGTGAATTGTTACCTTTAGCCCTTTTATTGATGGAATAAAATAACCTTCATGTCAGTACCCTCTGCTGTAGATGGGCAGCTCATCCTTGCTCTGCTGCATTGCTTAGTCTCTGATGTGTTAAAGAGGGAGAAGAGGGCATGTGGAAAATGGAATAGACAAAAGAATGATACCAATATGCCTTTTAGTCTCAAGAGAAGACTGTTGTCATATATTAACAGAACAGAAATCCCAACTGATCTTATTGTTTTATTTCTAGGTGGACACAAATGATGCTGACTTTGTAGATGAATCCACACTTGAGTCTCAATACTGTCCTGATAATGACAGTATCTACTCTACTCAAGCCTCTCTTTTATCTCTTCATGACAGTGCTTGTAGTGATGGCCTGAACTATGGCCCCTCCCTTCCATCGTCTCCTCCCAAGGTACAAAGGAAATGCCATTTCATTTATGGGAAAGCCTTGTGTATAATTTTCCAGAGGTTAGTGTTTATGGGGAGTTATAGGAGAGTATTGGAGATACGATGTTTCTCCAGTCATGCATTCATTATCAGATTAAAGTACAATTTCATTTAGCTAGTGTTGGCTGGATATCATTCAGATCAGTAGGGACTATTTAAATTTAATGTCTGTGAGACAGAGTGATAGACACAAGGTTCAAAGTTTTGATTAGGATTTACATGTCAGAAAGAAAAATTTTAATGAAATTTATTTCTCAAAAATTATTTTTAGCAGTGTTTATTTTGGAGAAATTACAAGAATAACTCTTTTCTTAATGTTTAAAACTGACTTTTATGCGAAGTTGGACGCAAAGTTTTGATTAGGATTTACATGTCAGAAAGAAAAATTTTAATGAAATTTATTTCTCAAATTTTATTTTTAGCAGTGTTTATTTTGGAGAAATTACAAGAATAACTCTTTTCTTAATGTTTAAAACTGACTTTTATGCGAAGTTGGACGGGAAAATATTTCTTTCATTAATTTAACATTTACTAGCTAAGTTAAACTTAATGCTGTCATATGTTTTTATATAAAATGATGCCAAAGAATACATAAAAATCACAGTGAGTGGCGAAGTAAGTCATTGGATATGAATGAAAAGTTTAGTTACTGTTTGACATTTCTGTGCCATCTATATTTTAGAAATAGATTATTGGCACAAATGCCCCAAGTGTAGTTATTTTCTTGGTGACATACTCTATGTTTAATAAGTAATATTTTAAAACCTATCCAGGGCTAGCCAGTTAGCTCAGTTGGTTAGAGCATGGTGCTGATAAAACCTATTCAGTCTTTTAGGTGTGAAATGGTATGTTATTATTTTAATTTGTATTTCCTGATTACTAGTGAGATTGAATACTTTTTCACATCTAGAATTTTTTCTTTTAGCGGCTTGCTGGTATGGAGATCTGAACCCATGACCATGGTGTTATAAGGCTGCACTCTAACCAGCTGAGGTAGCTGGCCAGCCCGAATACTTTTTCATACATTGGCCATTTGGTTTTCAAATGGTCTTTTCATCAGTAGTCTCTTCATATTTTTTGACCATTTTTATATTGGGTTGCTCATCCTTCTGTTGATTTGTAAGAGTTGTTTTTTATATATATATATCTATATATTTTTTTTTTTGGAAATTGACAAAAAGCAATTATTTTTTTTAGTGAATATGAGTCTGTGTGTGTGGGTGTGTGTGGGTGGGTGTGTGTGTAGTAAAAATCTAAAAGTGTGTGGGTTTGATACTTCTCAACTTGAGGAAAGAATTTATCCTTGGAGAAAAGAAGAAAGCTTGAAGAAAATATGGCAAAATGTTTATATCTATTAAGTCTGGGTAAAGAGTTTATATGTGGATGTATTTTTTTTTCTACATTGGAAATATATCATAAACATACATTAAAATTAAGTTTAAAAGACTGGACAATAATTTTTTCTTAAATATATAAAATATATATTTTCTGCATATGTTGAGGTTTAGCCCAATTTTCCTTCTTTCTTGATTAACAAGTAAGTTTTTTGGCCAGAACATTTTCAAAGCATTTTCTTTTATATTCATGGTGCACCTGTTATCCTTGCAAATGATGCTGGGCAATCTCCTTGAATTTGTTTGCAAGGTATAATCTTGAGTGGAGCAGCTGCTCCTCTCTCACCACACCTGAGACTTCTGTCTGGCTGCAGCCTGTCTGGAATATGTTCAGTCTTTACTGGCCTCAGGGCTGAAAGCTGAGTTCATCTCCTAATGGAATCTCCTAATCCACAGCATAGCACACTTCTTCTTGCCAGTGGGACAGATTGCATTGTTTAACTTAGTAATTATTACTTAAAGGGATTACACAGTCTGCATGCTGAGAAGCATATATTGTACAGGGCAAATGCTGGCTGTGTACAGCACAACGTACTGGCTTGCTGAAGTCTGTTTGCCTCCATTTTTTTTCCGCCAAACATTTTACTCTTTTGTTGAAGCAAATTTTGGAAAGCTGGCCCATCAACTGAAATATTTAAACTACAAAACCAAAAAGAAGGCATTAATGAGTGTGTTTTAAAACACGTTGTGGAATTCCTATGTGCTTTCAGTTTTCTTAGCAAGTAGGACTGTTCCTCTATCATGGTAAATCGCTGCAACATATTTTTTTTCCTGGCACCTTTTTAGTTCCTACATTTTGACTAGAAAATTTTACGTACAGAAAAAAAATATATAATGCATTTTTCCTGGTTTTTAACACTAAATTTATTTTAAAAGGATAGAATGGTGATTTGTTATAGAATTTAAAATTGACTATTTTTCTTAAAAAAAAGTAAGCTGACTTCAGGGTTTTTTAATTAATAAAACCATTTAGTATATGATATTTAAGAAAAACAAATATCATACTGATTTGAAAGAAGGATAATATAGAGTGTGAGGATCTCAATGATTCCTCAGATTGACTTTGTTAAATATACAATAATCTTCTAGCCTTAAATGGCGACTGAAAATGGACCAATAATTTTACCTGTCTCCTCACTTTGATGATAGGTCTTTTGACCTTGATCAGGTATGCTACTGAAAGTTGTAAGAGCTCATCACCACAGTATGGACTCATCATAGAGGGAGGCTATGCTCTTCAGACTGGAGGTTAGGACCCTGCAGCAGGTTAGGACCCTGCATAAAGGGCTGTAGCCATATGTTGGTGCTCCTATTCACAAAGTTCTCTCGTTTGGGGGCCCATGCTGGCTTTCTTTTTTTTAAAGGAGTATATGTTTGCTTAATTTGGTTAATTATCACTTAAGGATTAAAGGGAAATAATCATTACTCAAGAACCTGAAAAATATACCCACTTTCATGGCATTTCAGTTAATAGAGGCATGTCGTTGAAATGTGGACTTAAAGGCAACATGGCTATAGCCAGTGGGTTTCTTCCTTTCTAGTTGTCCTAGGTTTTAATTTTTGATTAATCATTTTACCCCCTTTTCCTTGTTTCCTCCAAACATAATAAAATGAAGAAATAATAGTTTTCTGAACTTAAATTTTGGTAGACTTTTGTTTAAAAGCTCAATAGGGTTTTTGGGGAGAAGATGCTTGCTTTACTTTTTCCTATTTTACTTAAAAATAACAATGAGTAGGGCCGGCCCGGTGGCGCACTGGATAGTGCACCGCTTGGGAAGCGTGGTGGCGCTCACGCCCGAGGGTTTGGATCCCACATACAGACCGGTTCCGCTCACTGGCTGAGCGAGGCGCGGGGGCAACACCGAGGGGTGGAGTCCCGTTGCCGGTCCCGGTCCGGTACGGGGGCGACACTGAGGGTTGCAATCCATTGCCAGACACGAAAAAAGACAAAAAAAAAAAAAACAAAAAAAAAACAATGAGTAAAGTTTTAATAGTTATGTAATTAATTTCCCCTTCTATTTCTTATCCACCTCCCTACATCTTGCCATCCCGTGTACAACCATACTCTCACTCTCTCACCAGGGATGAATTTGTTACCAATATGGTGCATGTTCTTCATTTTTTTTTTTTTCCTTTTTTGTCTTTTTTACTGACCAGTAACGGGTTCGCAACCCTCAGTGTTGCGCCCGTACCGGGGACCGGCAACGGGATCGCAACCCTCGGTGTTGCGCTCGCACCGCTCTCAACCAGTGAGCGGGAACCGGTCTCCACATGGGATCCGAACCCTCGGCGGGAGCACCGCCGCACTCCCAAGCGGCGCACTCTCCAGTGCACCACCGGGCCAGCCCTTGTTCTTCATTTTTGAATGCTGGTTCCACCAGGAAGCACTACTGATTCTAGTGGTGGTTGAACTCGGTCTTTGTCAAAATAGGAACCCCACTTTTCACCTGGCACACCAACTAAAATTAATGGATCCCACGATTAAAAAAAAAAAAAAAATCTGCATGGTCCTTCAAATCCCTTCTTAATGTCCTTCTCTAGCATAAAATATGGCTGCCTTCACACCTATGTTTAAAATATTGATACTTACTATTTCTCATATTTTTTGGAGAAGGCATTGGGTCAAAAGCTAATTAAATCACTGCAATCAAAATTATGAGAGTGATTATGAAAGTTCTTAGTGACAGAACTGCAGGCTCTCAAAGATAGAAAAGATTTGCCTTTTCCCTCAGTAGGGTCAGTGTATAAACCGTAAAGGAAGTGTACCTTAACTCAGGAAGAGTGGGAGGAGGACAGTGAGTTGGAGCAGGTGAGCTTTCAGTACAGTATATTTTTTAAAAGTTTAACAGGAATTTTCAGGTATACTGCTTATTGAAGAAAAGTAGGTCGTTGCTATTTAATGTTTAAGTATTTATCTTGTGTATAAATATATTATCTGGGTAAATAATGTGCCCAAGTCTAACCTTAATTTTTGCTTTGCACTTAAGAAATAGAGCTTTTTTTCACGTATATTTGACATTTTAATTGAACCTCCCCCCCAATTTTTTCCTTAGAGCAAGAATATATCAAGCGAAGGCACGTATTAATATGGATTTTTGAAAGACTTCAATTTAGATATCAAGTTACACTGGAAAATTGTAGAGTTATTTTTGGGCATTGTATGGGGGAAGAACTGTTTTTCTTTAAGACTTTTAAAAATAAAACTCAGTCGGTTGTTCAGCAACCAGAAATGTTTCTGAAGTGGGTGTATGTTGTCTTTTGCATTGATTAGCTTTCTTTTCTATGTGTCTGTGTTAACTCCTTCATGAATAATGCATAGAAATTTCCATTATACAATTTACAGTAAACCTCAGCTAACATGGGTGACTTGACCTCTTTTTCTGATGAAGAGCAGTTTGTTATCTTTATTTGAGGCATGGGGAGATGATTTAGTGCTAATTATTATAATTAGTAATATGGAAGCTAACCAATTCTGTAGTAAGTGCATTGTTATTTTTCCTAAGAATAAAATAATCAAAGTTGAGCAAATGAGGGAACAAGTTATTGTTTAAATTCTGGGATTGTGGAGGATGATACGTTCCTCTTATTTGCTCCTGAAGATACTAAAGGTGTTAATTGCTTGTATGATATTCCCATTTGCCTCAATTCTTTGTACTAGGAATACTTGATAATTCTGGAGAGATGATAACTTGCACTGAAAAAGAGTATAATAAGTTGTTTTGGAGCAATTAATTATCCAGTTAGAAAAAATGAAGAGATCCATATCGCACACCAGTCTGGAATAAGTTCTAGATGGTTAAAATAAAAACAAGAATTATAAAACAGAAGAAAAATACTAAAAAGCATTTCTTTTACTTTGTGTGGAGGAGGGGCTTATTAAGCAACTTATAAAATCCAGAAGCACAAATTGACATTTGATTGCATAAAGAATTTAACTTCTTCATGAAAAAATATTACATATGCATATTTAAAAGACAAATGACAGACAAGGAAAATATTTGCGGTATATATCACAAAGACTTTATATTCAGATGATGTCAATGACAAGAAAAGTAAAAATACACATGATAAAAAGCTAGATAAAGCATATGAAGAGAGCCTTCACAGAGGATATACAAATGGCATGTCCTTGCTAATTATCAGGAACATGCATAGTGAAACACTAGTTAACATTGTTTGTTACGTAACAGATGGCCAAATAAATCTATGGTGGGCAAGATTAGTCAATAGGTATTCCCATTTTCTCTTTTTTGTGAGAGAAAATTCAAACACAATTTGTCAGTGTATACCAACATTTTAAGTGTGCATATCATTTGGCCCATCTCTCCAATTCTGGTAGTTCTTAGTAAATACATTTTCACACATGTGCACAGAGATATGTAATATAAATAACACCAATAGCTAACAATTACTGGACGTTTTCTGCTGTTAGGCCTGTTTTTAGTACTTTTCAGGTATTATCTCTCTGCATTCCCAACAGTCCTATACTGGGTCCTATTATTCTCTAGCTAATAGACGAGGGAACAAAGGCACAGAGTGTTTAAAAGGAACAAACTGTTAACTAGTAGTGAAGCCAGGATTTGGACTTAGGTAGCTTAGCTCCAGAGTCTCCACTCTAGTGCCTTTCGTTGTTAGGAGTAATTTACAGCTGTAAGAAGATTGAAGTTTACTTTTTTCTGCTGACATGGAAATTTCTCAAATCAAGATATAAAGATAATTGCAAAAAACAAAGCAAAACAAAACATGTGAAAACTACTAGTTATTTTGTGGTTCCAATTAGGTTTTAAAAATGTGTATGTATACCTGCTTACATGTGTGCGCATGTGTACTTGTACCTATATATTATGCGATTGCATAAAAAAATCTGACAGATAAACACCTAAATGATGCTAGCCGTTTTTACTGGGGAAGGGAATGGAAGTCGGAGCCATAGGTGAAGACTCATATTGTACTCTGTGGGTGTACAAAGTATATCTGTATGGCTTGAGTTTTTGGGGTGAAATGTATTCATATGTTACTTTTGTACTTAAAAATATCAATAAAAGATAGGAAAACTGATATGTTTATTCAGTAGCAGTTCATGAAGCAACTGCTTACTGAAAGCACATGAGGGCTATATCTGTTCTAAGTAGTTACACATATTTATATAGAATTATAAAATTTTAGTTTCAGGGAATTATAGAAATTATCTAGTACAAAGGCAGGAAAGGTTCTGTGATTTACAGATTGTTAATAACAGATCCTGATTTAGAACCTACATTTTATAACAACCCATTTTAATATTCTTTCTGTCATATCTGACCAAATATTTTTTCAAATTTTCCCTATAATAATCTGAATTGTAATCCTTTCTGTTCTTCTCCATAAATACCTATAAATGCCTATCAAAATAATTTTTTCTTAGAGGCTCTTTTGAATCCGAATCAGTTAATGTTGTATTTTTTTTTT